AATGAACCGAGTCCTTAATCACCGAACCAACTTTAATTAATTCGACCTTGGGCTTAAATATACGATCATAAAATACGACCTGACTCTAATATCTTTGTAGAGGCTCAATAAGCTCGGGAATTATCATAATTTTGCAAATTCCTACAAAATAATATCAACTCTACAAAAACACTAGAAAACGTATATTAGTAATAAAAATAGCTCCGCATAGCTCAAATAAGCACAAATATGACCTTGGGACGGGGAATAAAAATTATATATAATAGACTTATCAATTATAACTCCATAATTATGCTTAAAGGATAAAAAAAATTGCAGTAGATTAGGGATGCAATAATGCATTTAATTTATCCTTGAAATGCTTGCATTAACCAAGGCTTAAAAGATTTAAAACTTTCGTTGAAAACGAAAAACCCTCAAAAAAATGGGTTTCTGGTTCGAATTCGGTTTTTGGACAGTTTTCAAAGAGGGTTGAAACTGATTTAGAACGTCGATTCCACTCAAAAAAACACTTTTTTGAGCTATAATCCGAGTTCTTAGCCAAAAAATCGAAAAATACGAGATTAAAACTACTTTAAAAATGCACTTCTAATCGAATTAGAAAAACAAAACCAGAAATTAAATCTATTTTAAAACACCTTAATTAATAAATATTGCAATAATTAAAAGGAGCACGGCTCCGATACCGCTGAAGGGTTTCGTAGTGACCCTCACTACGCGGAATGAAACTCCCAAGACCCGCCCCTATAACTAATGTAGTTAAAGCAAGCATAAACATAATTAAGCAAGAATTAAGAGAAAGGGAGAAGAAGTTACACCCCTGTAGCGTGCTTCGCTCACAAATCGAGCTCTTACTTTGAAAGCTCAAGCGTCATAATCATGACCGCCTCTAACGGCTCGTACCCACTAACCCGACCCGAACAGTCCAAGTCCCGAAGGTTAGTCGGGACTTGACCAATAAAAACTGGACTTTTACGTACTTAGAGGTTTTCTCACCTAATGAGAGATGCCTCATTAAGTTCTACTCAAGTGTTCTTCCCAAATGCCAAAACCTTGGTATTTATAGGGAAATGAACCCTTAAACTCCCACTCTTGATCAATGTGGGAATTTTGTGCATTTCCACCAATTTAGTTAATTCCAAAATAAATTATAAAACAAATGCAATCACAAAGCAACAAGTGGCAAGAGGAGAGAATGGGTTAGGTGAGGACCATATCCCATGTAGGGACCATTGCCTTGCTCACCAAGGCATGACTCTAAGCCTTGGTCCTCACTCTCCTCAAAACCGACCTCAAGCAAGGGGTGAGCTGGCTGCCAGCCTTGCTGGCCAGTATGCACTGCCAGCACGTACAGCTAGCACGCATCAGCCCCCAGCCAGCGCATGCGTGCTGCTAGTGAGCCACGCATGCTGCTGTGCTAGGTGAGGCTCCTAGCTTGCTCTTACTGCTGGGCGAGGATCCTAGCTTGTTGTGCTTAGTGCTGCCATGCGAAGGCACGCACGTAAGCACGCAGCTACGCGAAGGCGTTGTACGAGCATGCGGACAACATATCATAGTATCAGTTCCATAAATTTGCACTACTATAAAACAGGCCATTTCTGACGGCACAATTCCGTTGGAAACACCCTAAAATCCGTCAGAAATGGCCGTTTCCGACGGAATTTCCGTCGAAAGGGTTGTCGGAAAACTTTGGTAGGGAAAAAGGCATTTTCCGTCGTAAATTCCGTCGGAACAGTGTTTTCCGGCGGAATTACGACGGAATTTTGTCGTCGGATGAGGAATTCCGGTCATCGAAAAGTCCGGCGGAAATTTCTGACGGAGTACAAATCCGTCGGAAACTTCCGACGGAAATTTCATCGGAAAAAGGATTTTAAAAAAATAAAAAAAAAAACCCCACCACCACCCCAACCACCGTACCCCTGCCCAGACCACCCCATGCTACCCTTCCCATACCACCCCACTACCCTACCCAGACCACCCGCCCCAGATCCACCAACCCTGACCCTGCCCCACCACCCAGGCCCCCCAAACCCAACCCAGAACCACCAAATAACCCCACGAACCCTACACCACCCACACCCACCCTTTCTCCACCTCGCCACCCACAACCACCATATCTCCACCTCACCCCCCCCCCCCCCACAACCACCATATCTCCACCTCGCCACCCCATAACCCACAAAAATCACGAAAAGTCGACACCAAAAACTAAAAAACAAAACAGAAAAAAAACAAATAATCGAAACCACAAAAACCAATCAAACAAAATCAAGACAACCAAATCGGAATAAAAACCACTAAATCGAAATAAACAATTTATATATTATATTGTCCGAAAAAATACAAACTTAAATTACAATTTCATCATAAAAATCATTATAAAAATCATAAATTTGTAAAAAATAAACCTAGATCTACATATATTTCCGACCTTCTAGGTGTTGTTGAGCGTCGGTGGTTGTTGTTGTTGAGCGACGGTAGAAGAGGCGGTTTTTGTTCCGGTTGTTGTTGTTGCGGTTCGTTGTTGATGTTGTTCGTTGTTGTTCCGGTTGTTCGTTGTTGTTGCGATTCGTTGTTGTTGTTGATGTTGATGAATACAAAGAAAGGAGAAAGAGGAGAAGGAGAAAGGAATGAGGAAGAAGAGGAGAGAAGGAGGAGAAGGAGAATGATAGGAGAAGGAGATTGAGAGTAGAAGGAGAATGAGAGGAGAGAGAAAGAGAAGAAGAGAGGAGAGATAAGGAAAAATGGCTGTAAAAAAAAAAAGGAGAGGAGGCGAAGAGATAGATGGGTGGGGTTAGGGTTTTTCTTTTATATTATTATTTAAATATGTTCCGACGGAATATTCCGTCGGAATACTATTTTTCCGACGGAATATTCCGTCGGAAATTTCCGACGGATTATATTTCGTCGGAAAGTTTTTGTTTCGACGAAATAATCCGTCGAAACGTTCCGACGGAATTAAAATCCGTCGGAATATTAATAGACCGACGGAAAATTCCGTCGGAAAACCCATATATTTCAACAGATTTTAATTTCGTAGGAAATCCGTCGGAAATATCCGACGGATTTATATTCCGTCGAAAGTTCCGACGGATTTTCTCGTTCGTCGGAAGAAGTCAGCCTATTTCTTGTAGTGTTGCCGGCATAAGAAAATAAAGAATACACCCTTAAATTTACCTGACCATACTTATTTTTCACCTTTTTTACTAGGCTAAACGTTATAAAAATGTATAATAATAATTAATAAAGAGGGAGCTCCAGTTTCGCATTATGAGTGTTCCACATAATGGCATTTCGGAAAATAATGTGATATTTTTCACTAGTGAAGACCACCTATGTGTCATGAGTAGAATTCTATGAGCTTGACACATACCCTATGAGGAACAAAACTTGTTCCTTACAATGAGGAACAGGGAATTACCCGTTTTGAGGGAGCCCATTTCCTCATTATGAGGACCACTTTTGTTCCTCATAATGGCATTTTGGTAAATAATGTGATGTTTTTTACTAGTGGGAGCGCCTATGTGTCATGATTAGAACTCTATGAGCTTGACACATACCCCATGAGGAACAAAACTTGTTCCTCAAAATGAGGAACGGGGAATTATCCATTAAGAGGTAGCCCCAGTTTCTCATTATGAGCTCATAATGACATTTTGGAAGATAATGTGATGTTTTTCACTAGTGGGGACCGCCTATGTGTCATGAGTGGAACTTTATGAGCTTGACACATACCCCATGAGGAATAAAACTTGGTCATTAGAATGAGGAACAGGGAATTACCTATTAAGAGGGACCACCAGTTCCTCATTATGAGGAACACTTTTGATCCTCATAATGGCATTTTGGAAAATAATGTGATATTTTTCACTATTGGGGACTGCCTATGTGTCATGAATGGAACTCTAGAGCTTGACACATACCCCATGAGGAACAAAACTTGTTCCTCACAATGAGGAACAGGGAATTACCCATTCAAAGAGAACCCAGTTCCTCGTTTTGAGGAACACTTTTGTTCCTCACAAATAGAAATAAATTGTAAAAATTATAAAAATTACATATATTCTTATAGTTGACATTGTAACGAATTTAATAAGATCTCATTTACCTATATCATTGATTATGAATTAATAACAAAGTTTTAAAAAAATTAACCCCTAAAAAAGCACAATGGGGTAACAAAATAGCGACAAATGTCGTATAGCATAAGCAATATTTGTACCGTAAAGGGACTAATATGAAAATCACAAAAATAGTATGTCCTCATAAAAGTATTTCTTAAATACATCCATATGGGCCACTTGCAAGCAAATAGCAACTTGGACTGATCCCTCATTCACAAGTCCAGGAAGCATATATAAGACAATCACCATCAGAATCATGGGTACTTGGACCCATATAAATCTCTTTCCCCCAACCAAAGTCAAGCCCATAAATCGGAAGAGTTAACCAACTAATGACCCCAAGATTGGGGTTACCATAAAACGGGCCTTCATTTAAGTTACGAGCATGCAAGTCTTGAAAAGGGGACAAATCAGTCAAATTTTTCCAAAAATCAATGTTTGACCAAATATAATTATCGTCCACTTTTTCAATAGCTTCTCTAAGTCTAGCACAAGTAATAAAAATATAAAGAGATTAAAAACATAATAAATACGCAATGAAAATGAGAAAGTAAGTCGCGACAAAAGAGAAAAGAGTGAATTGGGACGAAAGAGTAATAAAAAATGTAACTAGTAATAAAATCCGCTAAAACTAGAAGTATACAGTAGTAATACAACTATACAAGTAACAATATGGAGCAAATAATAAAACGGATCAAGTCCATTTTTCCGACGAACTAAACCAACTGCGTTTATGTTTTGCCTCTCCATTTTTCGTCTCACCCCATTAGGCTCCATTGAAGCTTACTCTAAATTCTCCATAAAAGCGGCTTGTGAGCTTTCTCTCCTCCATTGAAGCAGCTTCTAAGGCAAGTTATTCTTGTTATCATCAAATTTCAAATTTAAATATAGATTTAATCGTTAATTTTGTTGTCATTATAGTCAATTTAGGGTTCTTTTAAAGTGAATTATTGAACTATTGCTTACAATCACTGAATAATTATAATGAGAAATATTGTTTCTAGATCATAGTCAATTTAGGATTCTTCTTAGGTAGATTGTTGTTGGTTATAATTTAATTACTAAAAGATTATAATGATAAATTTCGTTGCTCGAATTTTTCTATTCATGTTCTTAAGTGAGAAGAATTTGACTTGATAGTTGAGTCAAATTTCCTTGCTAATGTGTTACAGAACCCTTTAATGTTAGGGTAAACTATGAAATTGGAAATTTTTGGGAACAACTAGGGAAATGAAATATATTTCCTCCATTCATTCTTAATTGCAACATTTTTTATAGAAATTATGTATAGTTTGTTCTTGTAACTTTGGCAGAAAATCTGAGCTTAAACATATTCCTTGCGGAATAGATAATTTGTCTGTGAGTAATGTTTGTGAGGTGGCCTAGGTTACTGAATCCGACTCAGCTCGCACAGATTATAAGACAGCAGAAGAATTCGTTTACTGCTTTAAAGATCTTTAATGAAGCCAAAGCCAAGTATCTTAATTATCGTCACAATGGTGTTGTCTTTGCCACCATTATTAATATACTCGGGAGCTCAGGTCGTTTCGATGAAATGAAGCAAGTAATTAAACAGATGAAAGATGACTCATGTGAGTGCAAGGACGATGCAGTTTTTGCAGGTATAGTTAAGAAGTATGCAAAAGCTGGATTACTTGATGATGTCGTTTCTTTATTCAGAAGCCTTCCTCAATTTAATTGTGTGTCTTGGACATCATCTTTCAATACACTTTTAGAGATTATGGTAAAGGAGTCTAGACTTGAGGCTTTCTATCGTCCTTTTAAGGAAAATTCTCGTGGTTGGGAAGTTAAGTCTAGGATGGGATCATTGAATTTGCTAATGGATGCTCTATGTCATATTAAACGCTCAGATTTAGCACTGGAGGTTTTTCAAGAGATGAACTATCATTGTTGTTATCCCAACAGAGAAAGTTATAGGATTCTAATGAAAGGCCTCTGTCAAGATGGCAGGCTATACGATGCCACTCATTTGTTATACTCAATGCTTTGGAGGATTTCTCAGAAAGGTTGCGGAGAAGATATAGTAGTAAATAGAATTTTGTTAGGCAACCTATGCGAGAAACAGATTAGGGAGCTATTTAAAAGTTTAACATGATTTTTACATATTTCCAACGCTTTTTCACTTTAGGCCTTTTTACAGCATATTTCTTTAAAGTCATCTAGTGTTTCTAGAGGTAAAGAAATAGATTTTCCTTTTGATAATGATCAAATAATTTGGTTTAATAAAGCTTACCTCATCTTGATGAGTTTTTGAGTAATCATGTCTTGCCATCAAACAGAGGTTGGCTTCCATTTTTTCAAAGTCTACTTTATCAAATTCAGATATGGGTTCAAGAATTACCTCATTGTTTGTGTTAGTTGTAGTGACCTTGTAATCACCAACTTTAATTACTCGCCATACCTGATGATTTTCGGCCTTGATAAAGATCTCCATCTTCGTCTTCCAGAATGAGCAGTATTTTCTATTGAAGAGTGGAGGACGTTGGGTTAAGTATCCTTCATCCAGTTTCTTGTCTTTGGACATTGTTTCTCTAGGAACTTGACTCCACACGGTTTCCTGCTATTCGGAGTTCCTTGCTCTAATACCAATTGTTAGAACAACGTCTACTACAAGAGGTGGGGTGAATTGTAGACTTTAGAAAATTTTGCGGAATTACACTTTCTACTAAGAGAAAAGACACTTGAGATAGGCAATGAATAATTCACTATGTAAAGATTAATTACAATCGCTAATATTCTTCCAAGATTCAAGTTCCGTGAGGAACTCAAGTTACCCAACTACGATCCCTCAATCGCAGTTTCTCACTCTTTGTGATTCTACTCCGAATCACTAGTACAATATGAAGAACTCTCTCAAGCCTCACACTTTACAACTCTCACAAACCTCAATCCCAATTACAAAGTAATTATAAGGATTTCCCTAATGCACTCAAGAAACTTAAGGATGGAAGGAACTCGACTTTAAAAACACTTAGAAACCCTTATGCTCAGAATACTCAAATAGTTTTCCACACTTTGAAACATCATCGTTGAATCATTTTAATAGGGAGATTAGTTAAGCCTCAACCATGTTCCCACTTTCCCCTCAATCCCACGTTCACCATAACAGAAAAGTTAGGATGTATGTTGAGGAAGTGGAGATACATGGCTTCACTGACTTGTCTCCCAAGTTCAACGTGATTCCTTGAATTAAGCAAATTGTGTTTTTTTACCAAGTCAAAAATCAGTTAAAAGAACTTTTATTAAAAGATAATTATTTATTTAGATAATTATTTAAAAAGGTAATAAAGATAAAATAAATAATTAATTATTTAAATTAAAATTAGTAAACTTATTTTTTAATTTAAAGAATTATTTAATATTTATTTATTTCTAAAACAACCCTTTCAAACTGACTTTTATCTTTTCCTTAAATCAAGGATTTCAAAATCTTTTCGTAATAATCCTTTCTGAGTCATACGTCGAACTCCAGGTTCCTTTAGGAACTTTGAGTTTCTTTATTAATTCCTTCCAACACCTAGGATTCTTAAGTACGTACAAGAATATACTAAGTATTTGGAGTTTATGAGAATATCTTGAAATCTTGCATTTTACGTCAAGTCTTCCAAACTCTTTTGTTCCTACTCCAGAACATGTAGTTTTGTACCCAAATCTTTCTGTTCAACCAAGACTCATAAACATCATTAGTCAGAGTTTGTTTTATGTAATTCAATCATCAAAATATTAAGGTAGTCAATTCAATATTATTCCCCCTTTTTGATGATGACAAAAAAAAAAAACAAACTCGGTTAAACAAAACAATCATCCATGCAATCAGAGTAACCGTTAACCAAAAAAATTATTAAAACAAAAAATTAACTAAGTATAAAGAAGTCTGCATCATTCATGAAATAAATAAATTGTGAAATTCATACCTCTTTACTTAAATGATGAAGACTTGAATGGTATCGGTTTGAGTCCGGCTTTCTGAGTTTGTTCCTCTTTTTCCCCCTTTTGGCATTATCAAAATAATAGAAAGAGCATGCTATATTTATAGTACTAAACTACGGAGCGACTAGTAAATCTGAATTAATGAACAATCAAGCATGCACACACAGATCATGTGCAACCAAAATGAAAATGCCAATGTCAAAGAAAAACAGAGCCAGTTCCATTAAGTACAAACCGAAAGAAAAAAAAATTGTGCAAGATAAAACAGAAAATAAAAATTTACACAAAACATCATTGTTCAATATAAATAAGTGATGTAGGCTTAGGCTAAGGGTGTTGTGGAGGTTTTTCAGGTTTGGGCAAGGGTAGATATTCACGAAATGCAGTAAAGCCAAATGGAGAGGAACAAGGTAGGTCAGGATAAGGAACTTGAAGAAGTTTCTTTTGAAAAGGAACATGGTAGTTAGGAATTTCATTGGGATTTTTGTTCTCTGAGTCAGATTGACGAATCAATCATATCCTTTGTCTCCTTCTATCCTTCAGGCTCCCTTAACCTCCTTTTTATCTCATTTTCTTCCCTGTATTTTGTTTTTTTTTTTTATACACCATCAACTTCCTCTGATAACTCATCTTCCCCCTTAGAAAGATCAGCCAAACTTTTGGCCTCATCTTTTTCAATAATATTTGATTCCCCCTCAGTTTGTTCCCTCGGTTTTTCAACAAAAATAGGTACACCATTTTCTACTTTAAAATTCAATACAAACAGTGCCCTTTCACTTAAAGTATTTTCAGTTTCAGAGATATATGGAGGGATGTTGCAAGATTAATTCCAAAACATTGAAATACGAAAGAAAGTAAGGGGCCATATGGTATGGTGTATTTGGAACAAAGGTAGGATCCTGTTCAAAAGAAACATGAGCAGCAGGTATATCAGGGACAGTGTAGGTGGAGTGGTGGTATGCTGGGAGTTTTTTTATGGATGTTTGGTGGTAATGTGAAGAGGTAACGATGGATGGTTTTGGTGAACTGACGGTTATAGGTGAGTTGAATTTAGGTGGAGTGAATGTAGGTTAAGGGAGAAAAAGGTAATTATGGATTAGTGTTAATGTTGGGATGTGACGGTTTGGGTTTATGGAGAAGTGGGTTTAGATAAATTGTGGGTGATAATTTATTTTGCAATCATATCAAACAATAACTTAACAAAAATAAGAAAAAAAATAAAAAAAAAATTAAAGGATTAATGAAGATAATTAAGATGAAAATAAGATAAAGAAAAAAAAATAAGATAAGAACAAATATTTTTGTATTTTTGAATAGGAAGAAAAAGAAATAACGATAAAGAATGAAAAATAAAAAATAAAGAAATATAAAAATAATTTTCAAGGAAATTACGTCAGGTAATTAACTAGTTAACATGTACAGAGGTTTGTAACTTGAGCAAAAGGAACTTGGAAACAACATGGCTCAATTTGTCTTCTTCATCGACATAATCATATGATCACATACTCAATAGAATTGCACACTCTTTCATTGCAAGATTCGAGATTATGTTTTCACACCAAGGTTATATATAGCAATGCACAGTCGTTTCACTATGACATACCTTGGGGTTCCAAGAAGAACTGCTCAGTTCAGTTTTATCATTCCGAGTTCCAATCGCATCTTTTCGAATTTTTCTCTACTCAAAGGCTTTGTCAGAATGTCAGCAATTTGATATTCAGTTTGTACAAATTCTAATTTTATTGAGCCATATACCACATTGTCTTTTAAAAAATGATGTCTTACATGAATATGCTTTACACGTGAGTGATGTACTAAATCTTTTGATATGTAAATTGCACTAGTATTATCACAGTATATAGGAACACATTCAAGAACTATGCCAAAATCACGTAATTGTTGTTTTATCCACAACAGTTGTGAGCAACATGCCTTACGTATTCTGCTTCTGTTGTGGATAGAGCAACTGTATTCTATTTCTTGGAACTCCAAGAAACTAAACATGAACCTAGGAATTGGACCATATCTGATGTACTTTTTCTGTTTACCAAATCCCCAGCATAGTCAGCATCAACAAACCCATAAAGATCATATGTGTCACTTCTTGAGTAGAATAAACTCAAGTCGTAAGTTCCTTTGAGATATCTCAGTATTCTCTTGACGGTTGTTAGATGCGGTTCTTTGGGGTTTGATTGGACCCTAGCACACAGACCAACACTAAAAGAAATGTCAGGTCTACTTGCAGTTAAGTATAGCAATGAACCAATCATACCTCTATACTTAGTCTGGTCCACACAAGTTCCTGAGGATCTTTGTCTAATCTAGAGTTAGTTCCCATAGGTGTGTGGTTAGTCTTTGCGTTGTCAAGGTTGTACTTTTTCAAGAGTTCCTTGACATATTTTTGCTGATGTATGTATATTCCTGATTCTGTTTGTTTGATATGCAGTCCTAAAAAGAAATTGAGTTCCCCCATCATGCTCATTTGGAACTCACTGCACATCAAGTCAGCAAAGTACTTGCACAAAGATTCGTTAGTTGCACCAAATATAATATCATCAACATAGATCTGTACAACTAAAAGATGAGTTCCTTTAGATTTTAAAAACAAAGTTTTATCAATTTTTCCTCGTTTAAAATCATTTTCCAAAAGGAACTTGGACAATCTTTCATACCATGCTCTTGGAGCCTGTTTTACCCCGTAGAGAGCCTTATCAAGTTTAAAAACATGGTTAGGAAAGTTTGGATTCTCGAATCCAGGGGGTTGATTGATGTAAACTGTTTCTTTTAATAATCCATTAAAAAATGCACATTTTACATCCATCTGATACAATTTAAAACCCATAAAAGCAGCAAATGAGATTAGTATTCTAATAGCCTCGAGTCTAGCAACAGGAGCAAATGTTTCTTCTTTTCCTTCCTGTTGATTATAACCTTTAACAACCAGCCTAGCCTTATTTCTTACAATTGTACCATAATCATCAAGTTTGTTTCTAAAGATCCATTTTAAACCTATAACCTTTTTATCTAGTGGCTTAGATTCAAGATGTCATACCTAATTTCTTTCGAATTCATTGAGTTCCTCTTGCAAGGCTATAATCCAGTCAGGGTCTTCTAAGGCTTCTTTATGATTGCGAGGTTCCATAGTAGATAGAAAAGCATTGAAGGCACATAAGTTCCTTATTTGCGATCTCGTCTGAGTTCCTTTGCTCAAGTCACTGATAATTTTGTCCAGTGGGTGTGACTTTTGGTGCTTCCAAGGTTTGGGCTTGAAGGTTTGGGAAGGAACTCGGTTACTTTGATTTTCTAAGCCATCTTCTTCTTCTGCTTCATTTTCTTCTCGATTTTGATCCTCACCAGTATCTTCATTTTGAGGTTGTTCAGGTGTAGGAATTTCAGTATGTCCATCGAGTTCCTCCTCCTGATTTTCATTTACTCAAGTTGGCTGCGTATTTGGTAGTATTGCATCCTCTTCTTGATCTTGAGAGCGAACTAAACCAATCTCAAAATCATAGTCTTCATGCTCCTGTGTACATGGGAAATGATTAGTTTCGTCAAAAATTACATGTACACTCTCCTCAATACACATAGTGCGTTTATGTAAAGCTTGCTTAAGAGATTGTGCATAAGTCCCTCGACAAGGAACATGTTATCTATTGAGTAGGAACTGTACTTTCTAACTTTGCCTATAGCAACAATATCACCCATTTTGTTATCTCCGAAAGTCACAGTTCATCCATAGTAGGTCTTAAGTGAGAGGAATCTAGATTTATCTCCTGTCATATGCTTAGAACAACCGTTGTCGAGTTATCATGAGTTGTTCCCCCTCACTTTGACCTGCAAAAGAAATCACGGGTTAGTATCAGGTTCCCTATCTTTCATGGATTCCTTTGTTGACACAGATGAATCAATTTTCTTTTACCACTATAATTAACATTTTTAGTGTTTAGTTTTGTTAGGTTCATCAGTGAATTCAAACAAGAAAACACTTAATAAAATGTGTGGGCACAAAACCTAAATAATGTGATTACAATAATAAATTAAAGTAATACAATCAAACACAACCAATGTGTTACAATCAATGTGTTACAGAAAATTTCTAATGACAACACTAATGTGAAGTTTAATTACACTTGCCTTAATTCCAAGCCGATCAATCAAACATGAACATGAGAATTGCAACGTCCATTGAGACTATGATCTTGATACACTGTCAAAGGCGTATGAATACTTTTCTAAAGGGATTAATTTCCCCCACACGGTGCTTGGGTTAATCTGGAAATTCCCTTTGAGATACAATTGACAGCACTTTCCGTTCTTAGCCAAAGAATCGAAAAACCGATGGATGAATCACAAAGAAGGCTAAAATCAAGAGGTTTTCTCAAAATAGTTTGCAAGAAAATTAAGAGAAAATATAGAGAATTCTTAGGGAGAATATCAGAGAATAAAAATACTATATTTCTTACCAACGAAATCAAGTCTTTAATAAAGACTTCACCGTCAAAAATCGCGAAAACAGTTGGGCGCGGACGCTCCACCAGGAGGAGCGGGCGCTCCTCTTCTGAAATTCCAACTTTCTGATTTTCCAGAAAGTTGACGCTATTTTGTCGCGATTTAGGCGCGGGCCACGCCTAATAGTGGCGCAGGCGCGCCACCTTTGCCAGATTTCCAGAAACTCATCGCGATTTTGGCGCGATTTCATCTGGGTCGCGCCTAGCTAGCGCGAGCGCGATCAATCAGTAGAGCACGCTCCACTCCGACACTCTAAATATTCCAACAAGTTTTTCCTTCTCCGTACAGTCTTCATTGCGGTGTCCTGATTAACTACAGAAGGAACATATTATCTCACTAGGGAGGTCCACATACTTTTTCTTTTTAGCATTGTTTTATTTTTTTGGTTGAATCCAAATCTTCTGTCCTTTTGGTTTGAGCTTCAATTATCCACTTTGGAACTCTCATATGGATTACACTTTTATTGTTTCTTTTTCTTTCAAGTTTTTTTTCAAGGGATTCATTTTTGTATTTAGTAACCTGTAATTCTTCCTTCAAATTTTCAAGATCAGCATTGAAAGGTAATTGAAGAGCATTACAAGAATCAATATTAGTGCATAACAACTTGTATTGAGTCAATTCAACATTTAACAAAATATTTTCATTCTTGACTCTTTCCATGGAATCTTTTAACATGGTGTTTTTTTCAAGTAAAGCAAAAAAATTTCCCTGTACATCAGATCTAGAGCTATTTAAAAGTTTAACATGATTTTTACATATTTCCAACGCTTTTTCACTTTGGGCCTTTTTAACAACATATTTCTTTAAAGTCATCTAGTGTTTCTAGAGGTAAAGAAATAGATTTGCCTTTTGATAATGACTTCAAATAATTTGGTTCAATAAAGCTTACCTCATCTTGATGAGTTTTTGAGTAATCGTGTCTTGCCATCAAACGGAGGTTGGCTTCCATTTTTTCAAAGTCTACTTTATCAAATTCAGATATGGGTTCAAGAATTACCTCATTGTTTGCGTTAGTTGTAGTGACCTCGTAATCACCAACTTTAATTACTCGCCATACCTGATGATTTTCGGCCTTGATAAAGATCTCCATCTTCGTCTTCCAAAATGAGTAGTATTTTCTATTGAAGAATGGAGGACGTTGGGTTGAGTATCCTTCATCCAGTTTCTTGTCTTTAGACATTGTTTCTCCAGGAACTTGACTCGACAGGGTTTCCTGCTATTCGTAGTTCCTTGCTCTGATACCAATTGTTAGAACGTCTACTATAAGAGGCGGGGTGAATTGTAGACTTTAGAAAATTTTGCGGAATTAAACTTTCTACTTAGAGAAAAGACACTCGAGATAGGCAATGAATAATTCACTATGTAAAGATGAATTACAATCGCAAATATTCTTCCTAGACTCAAGTTCCGTGAGGAACTCAAGTTACCCAACTACGATCCCTCAATCGCAGTTTCTCACTCTTTGTGATTCTACTCCGAATCACTAGTACAATATGAAGAACTCTCTCAAGCCTCACACTTTACAACTCTCACAAACCTCAATCCCAATTACAATGTAATTACAAAGATTTCCCTAATGCACTCGAGAAACTTAAGGATGGAAGAAACTCGACTTTAAAAACACTTAGAAACCCTTATGCTCAGAATACTCAAATTGTTTTCCACACTTTGAAACATCATCGTTGAATCCTTTTTATAGGGAGATTAGTTAAGCCTCAACCATGTTCCCACTTCCCCCTCAATCCCACGTTCACCATAACAGAGAAGTTAGGATGTATGTTGAGGAAGTGGAGATACATGGCTTCACTGACTTGTCTCCCAAGTTCAACGTGATTCCTTGAATTAAGCAAACTGTATTTTTTTTATCAAGTCAAAAATCATTTAAAAGAACTTTTATTATAAGATAATTATTTATTTAGATAGTTATTTAAAAAGGTAAAAAAGATAAAATAAGTAATTAATTATTTAAATTAAAATTAGTAAACTTATCTTTTAATTTAAAGAATTATTTAATATTTATTTATTTCTAAAACAATCCTTTCAAATTGACTTTTATCTTTTTCTTAAATCAAGGATTTCAAAAAAATTTCGTAAAAATCCTTTGAGTCGTACGTCGAGTTCCTTCAGGAACTCTAGGTTCCTTTAGGAACTTCGAGTTTCTTTATTAATTTCTTCCAACACCTAGGCTTCTTAAGAATATACTAAGTATTTGGAGTTTATGAGGATATCTTGAAAGCTTGCATTTTACGTCAAGTCTTCCAAACTCTTTTGTTCCTACTCCGGAACATGTAGTTTTGTACCTAAATCTTTCTGTTCAACCAAGACTCATAAACATCATTATTCAGAGTTGTTTTATGTAAGTCAATAATCAAAATATTAAGGTAGTCAATTCAACAATTGTATTGTTGTAAAAGGCTTCTGTGATAAGGGTAAGATAGATTTAGCCATTAGGTTTCTGGAAAGCAGAAAAGTTGCTCACCTGATAAGGGGACGTTCAGTGTTATTATTAATAGATTGTGTCAAGATGAGATGTTTGTTGAGGCCAGTAAGATTATGGAAAAGATGTTGAGTAAATCTTATTGGCCTGAGTCGAATACTTTTAGTGCTATTATTAGAGATCTTTGTTCAATAGACAAAATGTATGAGGTTGTAATGAGGTTGGAAGACATGATCAGTTAGGGTAAGATACCTAAGTCTTATATATGGAGAGTATTAGTAGCTTCAGCTAGTTGTAACACTAAAGAGATTCATGTTTGCGTTGATTTGCTGGATTGTCTGAGAACTTAAATCATTGTCTTAGTACAACTTTATAAAGTATAGAATTCTTTCAAACGGTCCAATTAATGTAAAACCTGCTGTAGATAGCAATTATACAGGATTTCAGATGGTTATTTACAAAGTCCAAGGAATCTCAGTCCAACGAACGTCACAATAATGAGAAAGACCCTGGTCTTGAAGGTTTAGCTCTAAAATTGGTTCAAGATGACCAGAATGCTAGAACTTGGTGGTAGTCGCTTGAAAAACTTTGACTTCATCAAAACCTTGCGCTGTAGTGTAAATGTCAAGCATCAATAGATTGTTTCAACAATATGCTTCCAACCAATTGACCACATTGATTGTGAATGTAGCAATTTAAATAATTCTTCAATGCCTTAAACACAGGACAATTTCAACCTCACAGCACAACACGGAGCAAAAACCCTGCATTTGTGTCTAAGTGTGAGCTTTCAAAGGTGTAATGTCAGCTGCTGATTGGTCATTAACGTTGATAATGTTAGCATGATTACATTTCCAGCTTAAGAGGGAATTGCAGTTCATGACTTTGGGGATTGGAGCCGCTTGTACTGGGTATTGCTTATTCATATTCTCAATCCTGGTAAGATAAGTAAAAGGAAATTATGTACAGTCGGTATTCTCATTTATGCATAGCATATTTACAAAAAACTTGATTAAAAAGCTACTACGTAACTGCATTCCTCTGGTTTTTTTCTAAAACTGTATGTCTTGCTTATCCAATAAGTTGTCATGAGTAGTGCAAGTGCCACTACAAAGAACCACCTAATATGTTCAGTGATGCGGTCAATTAATTCCTTCTAAAAATTCTTTAATATGCTCAAGATAATATATACTGTAGAAGGTGAGTTTTAATCACAAGAAAAAAATTACAGAGTATTTTCTATAATATAAATATAATGAATCTTGAAACAATGAAAACCCTGAATCTATACCTAATCTTCTGTTTTAATATTATTTCCCCTTGATTATAGCAGGTGATAATATTCTTGAACCTGGTATAGTGGTATATGATTCTATTTTCTTACTTATGCATTTTTTTTAATGTTTCTTAGGCAGCAGTGAGTTATGCTTCAAGAGTTGGATTTAGGTTAGCTACCTTCTTTAATTGTTAAATTCTAGGTGTTGGTAAACTTGAATATTGTGAAGGTTGATTAAATTGAAGTCATGCCTTTGAGATTCTCTGTAACTGCTCAACTAATATTTGTCATTAAACTCTTGCAGTTTCTTGTATATGTAACTGCTGTACCAGCATGTGGACAACATATCACAGGATTCAGTTCCACAAATTTTCCAGCATAAGAAAACAAAGATGTACACCCTTAAATTTACCTGACCATCCTTATTTTTCGCCTTTCTTACTATGCTAAACGTTATAAAAATGTATAATAATAATTAATAAAGAGGGAGCCCCAGTTCTTCATAATGACATTTTGGAAAATAATGTGATGTTTTTCACTAGTGGGGATCGCCTATGTGTCATGAGTGGAACTCTACGAGCTTGACACATACCCCATGAGGAACAAAACTTGTTCTTCACAGTGAGGAATAGGGAATTACCCATTAAGAGGGAGCCCCGGTTCTTCATTATTAGGAACACTTTTGTTCCTCATAATGGCATTTTGGAAAATAATGTGATTTTTTTTCACTAGTGGGGACCGTCTATGTGTCATGAGTGGAACTCTATGAGCTTGACACATACCCCATGTGGAACAAAACATGACTAATGTTGCGCTTCTCTGTTCCGTATTGTATAGTGTCATACTAATCAGAATTGGAATACGAAGTGAGGATCTAAAAGATTCACTAGAAAAATCAGTCAAGGGAAGTGGGATTGCTCTTTTGTCTCCAAGACTTGTAATCCCTGCAGCAATATATGGAATATGGGTCCTGCTTCACCAGAACTTTGCTACTGATCTCTTTGATTTCCAGGTATTACACAAACTGTTTCATAATGTGGCTGAGAGTTTTGATATCTACGTATTTGGTCTTAAGGTCTTAACTAGCCTTCTGATTCACTGTTAGATTGTGCCTGCTATGTTGGGATTATTTGCTTACAAAGCTGCTGCGCTCGTTTAAGTTTGTAGAGATAATGAAGACTTGTAAATCATCTTTCCAGATACCGAGGAAAGCTCAGGTGTCTGAAAACTCATGTCTTGCTTCAAACATAGAACATTTTACCTTCCCCAGTTCAGAAAACTATTGTTAATACTGAAACTGAAATTTTGGTGCTGGAGGCTGGAGCACACTTTTTCTTGGAAAAAATTCTATATATGTATGAGTTGGTTTGATCTGTATGTATTGTAGGATACTAGGAGGCATATGTAGTATAGAGATCCAACTTTCTGCCTTTGTAGGTACTATAGCTGGTGATAATATATTTGTTAACCTTTTCGTCCGAGCTACGCCATTAGCTTAGTTGTTTTAACAGCACCATCCAGCACAAGAAGGGGAAATCACAGTCAAGTTATTTATGTGCTTATGAAAGATTGTCAGGAGGCCGATATCTAGAAGAAAAAAAAAAAAATGGGAAAAAGAAATTATCAAGAATTGCTCTGATTTCGGCAATAAAAATGTAAAAGCAAACTTCATGTTTAATCTACAAATTATAATCACTTTCACTACAATACTTGTTCGTGTAGTATCCCTAGGAATAACTGATTTATGTGACTATGTACTTGAAAATCCAACTAATCCTAATCTTCACAGAAAACATACCTTTTATCCCCATAAACAAACAAAGAATAAAATGGAGATTTCTATCAATTTAAGCTTTCGTAGGGAAAATGCATTGAGCTTTGTCCTGGTCTAATTCCATCATCAACCAAGGAACGTACCACCTGCATTCATATACATTTCATGATCAACTTTCGAGAAAAGTTTTGAGAAGGTTTGGTTATGCCAATATGTGTTAACTAATGAACTGTGAATTTAAGATACTCTGTAAAAGAAAATAGGCGTAATGTAATAGATCGAAATTTCGATTTTTTTAAATTCCAAACCGTAATCCAAATTTTTTAATTTTTCCCAACCGATACATTCCGAATTTCAAATAAATCCAAATAAAATTACAAACTCGGTTTGATTCGGTTTTAATCCTGAATTACTTTCACCCCTAACTAACTTGACCCGTTATCAAGCCAGATCATTACATCCCAAAAGTGAAAACAACACGAACCAATTACGTCTGAACCCGATAGTAGCCCGACCCATTTTAAACTGAAAACCATTTAAGCCCGGCAAAAATCCGATAAACCTGAATCGGTCCCCGTAACCCGTTGTGACCAAACCATTTATAACCTGTAACCCGTTATGACTGAACTATTTCCAACCCGTAACCTGTTGAGACCGAAATGTTTACGACCCGTAACCCGTTGAGACCAAGCCATTTACGACTGGTAATCAATTATGATTGAGTCAGTTACAACTTGTAACCCAATATGTTTATGATCTGATCTGTTTCAACCCACTACTCGATAAACACAACTTATTTATGACTTAACTTGATTATAGCATGACCCGTTCCTACTCATTATCTGACTAACTCGACTCGATAATGATCCGACTCGAGTTTAACCCAGTATGATTTGGACTGAAACCCGCTTCAAATTGGGTAAACCCGTTTTCAAATCGATAAAGTTCAATCCAAACTGATTATTATGACCTAAACCGATAATGACCTGATCCCTGATTTCACCTGATCTGTTTTGAACCGAAATCATTTTCAAACAGACTCGATTTAACCTAAACTGATTATGACCCGAACCGATTAAAACCTGACGTGTTTAGGTCTCGAAATGTTTTGAACCAAAACCTACTTTAAATTGGCTAAACCCGTTTTCAAACCGACCCAATTCAACCCAAACTGATTATGACCCGAACCAACTACAACCCGACCCGGTTAGGACCCGACCTAAATAGAAACCGCAATAAAAAAAAAAACCAAACCGAACTGACCCGATTATTTTCACTACCGACCCTCTAATTATTTTAACCCGTTATAACCCAAAACTGACAAAAACCAACCAAAACCCAAACTATTTACCTGATTTGACACCCCTAGTAGTACTCCATATAGAGTAAGAGATACTCAGAGATTGATAGGTCGTTGTCGAGCCTACCAAAATATAATTCCTATCTTGGTCTCACTAGCTAATAGCTAGGGTAAGAAAGGGTCGAACCCAAGATAGGCGTTGAATCAACCACCGAGGTACTATGTTTAAACAAGCTAAATGAAGTCTAAATTGGTTGAGTTTCAAGTAACTTCTACTAGTTCAATACAACTAAAAGCTAAGGGGAGATTAACAATAATTAGAGGAATCTAGGGCTCGGGTTATACCACTCAACTTCATCATAAATCACAATTAGCATGCAACAATGACGGAAAATTAATGGGATAAATTAGGGGAAGTCATCTAAGGCACCCAACTACTCTCTCAAGCTAGAGGGATTACTTGAATCATGAATACAACCTACTCTCGTGGTTACATAGCATAAAACAAGTGTTCAAGCATAATCATGATGACATAAACATTTCCTTGACCGGAAATTCCTATTCTCATGGCATTTCTAGTCAATTAAGCATAAGGGAGCTAACTCAAGTTCATCTCTCGATCCTTCATTGAGAACGCTTGGATAAATAGTTCTAGCAATGGCCATATACAAGAACTAAGCAATTAAACCACTTAAGCTCAACTAATTAACACCTAATAATTACCCAATTATTGCATGCAACAAGTAATTAGTTACTACATTGAGGGTTTTACCCAACCCCTAGAAAATAGACTACTCACAATCCATGGTGAAGACCAATCTAACAACAATATCTAAGTTCAACATAAATCCAACAAGTTGAGAGAAGTAGTAAGAACAAGGTAGATTGAACATGCAACAACAATTAAACAAGATTAAGAAGGAAATTAACAATCCCAAGCAATTAAAAACTGAAAATAAGGAGCAAGAGATAGAGGAAGAAATTTACTAATGAAGCTACAAACTTGAGAAAGTGTTGAAATTGAGAGTACAAACTTCAATTAACTACTTCAATGATTGAAATTGTGAGAAACTAAGCTAATTATTAGAGTTTTTTAAGAGCTAACTAAGTACCTAAGTAGACTAAAAAGGAAGAAGAAGAGTCGTCCTAAAATAAAAATCCACCGTCGCTTTTATACTCCCCAAAGTCACATAGAAAATTCCGTAAAGAAAAATTGGGTTTGCATGCAAGAGCGCCCTCTCCTTTCAATAGAAGCACCCGCTCCTAGCTCTCTTGCACGCCCTCTCCTCACTGCAGTAAAAGGGGCAGAATGTAGAAGCTCGGTGAGGAGCGCCCGTTCCTCCTTAGGTGCGCGCCCGCTCCTCACTGCATCAGAGAAGGCAGATTGTTGGAGCTTGATTAGGAGCGCCAGCTCCTTCAGTAGTAGAATAAAAGAAATAGGCAACCCCCCTATGGCAACGGTTCATGAAAACTGTTGCCAACTTAAGTGAGCGCCATTTTAAATATCAGAGTTGGCAACGGTTAACCGTTGCCAATTTTTTTTTTTTTTTTAAAAAAAATGATTAACATTGGCAACGGTTAACCGTTGCCAACTACGTTTTTTAAAAAATAAAAAATAAAAAATAAAAGGTAAAGGTTTGGCAACGATTAACCATTGCTAAATTTAAAAAAAAAATTGCGGGTTTTCCCTACTCTCACTGTTCATCTATCGTCTTCATTCAATTGCAAAAAAAAAAAAAAAAAAACCTTCTGCGTTTTCCCTCCTCCTTCTTCATTCAACTTTCTCCCCTCTTTGTTCCTCCATTGAAGTGGCCTGGTGCGAGGTACAAACCTCCATTGAAGACAATTTCCCCTCCTCTTCATTCAACTCATCTCCCCTCTTCATTGAAAACAATGTCTTTCTTCCTCATTCCTTCAATTCGTTTTGTCTTCAACTCCCATGCAATCCCTCTTCTCTTCTCACTCCATCTCCATTGAAGGGTTGTGCGAGCTTTCTCACCTCCATTGAAGGGTTGTGTGAGCTTTCTCACCTCCATTGAAGCAGATACTGGACCTTCGTACTCCATACCCATCTCTCCTCCATTGAAGCAGCTTCAAAGTAAGTAGCTAGCAAATTAGGTTTTACTTACTCCATTGATGAATTCCTTCGTACTCTTGAGTTTTTTGAGGATTTGGTTTTCAATTTAGTAATTATAATTTTATTGTAATCTAGGGTTTGTCAATAGACATGCATTGCTCCCCCTCCACAACGACCTAGCTTCTTGTCACGGTTAGTCTAAGGCGCCAGTTTCAGGTACATTTCAACTTGGAAAATATGTGGTGGTTTGTTTGTATTTTTGTTCATGAAGACCTTGGATATTTAAGAATGTCACAAGCTTTCTTTATTTGGAATTATGCCATCATTTAGAATGTGGATATTGTGTTGAAATAATAGTGAAGGAAGTTTTTTCATGCTAGCTATTAGACTTGTGTATTATATAATGACAAACTAAATACAACAATAAATATATGAAATGCTTGCATCATCATATGCCTAGATACCAGTTCAAGGCTTTCTCATTAGGAGAAAGTCTTGAATAGTCCCCGGTTGGGACTGTTCTTGAACGTTTACTCTCACTTAGGTGGTGAATGTATGTCTTTTTTTTTTTATTTTAAGGAACATCTTGGCTTACCGTTTCCTCGATCACCATGTTCTATGGGTACATATGTGGGTAAGTAATTACCTACGTTGTGTACTTGGAGAACTGGGGGGAAATGCTGCCGGATTTTCCGTAAAATTGGAAAGTTGACATACATTCACTAGTGAGAGTAAACGTTCAAGGATGGGTTAGGTTGGAGTGATAAGGACTCTTTGGAAGCATATATTCATTTGTGTATGTATATGAAAGTTATATGCATGGTGTGTGTTTGAATTTGATTTATATATATAGTAGATGTAGCAATTATACATTATTATTCGTAATATGTTGCCATGTTTAGAGACAATTTACTTAATATAGAAGGATCGTGGATGGATGTATGGTAGACGTGATACATTGGAATTCTTTAATGGGGTTCAAGAGTTTTGCGAGACGGCTTCATCTTATCAGTGCAGAATGGGTTTCGAGTGCCTCTATTGTCCTTGTGTTGATTGCAATAATGTGAAGGTGGTCAATAGTGTTGATATCATTAGAGATCATGTAGTTTGTCGTGGGTTTAGGGTTAAATATCATGTGTGGATTTGGCATGGTGAAGAAGGAGAGTACAGTGGGGATGTTATTGGGTATGATGTGCATGATGATAGAAGCAATGATATCCGTGTGGACGAGGAATACAAGAATGATGAACATATTGTTGATGATGGTGTTGAGGAGGGATTTGAGGATGATCATGTGGATGAGGTTGAGGATGAAGGTGTGGATGAGATGATGCGTGGTTTTGAAGGTGACGTGTTTGAGCCATTATCGGAGGCTTCTAAAAAGCCTTTGTATCCTGGGTGCAAAAAATACTCTAAACTATCAGCCGTGCTAACTCTTTTTAACATTAAGTCGAAGCATGGGTGGACGGACAATAGTTTTACTTCCTTGTTGAGCGTGTTAAGTGAGATGTTGCCCGATGGGAATGAAATTCCTAAGTCTTACTATTACGCTAAGA